TCTCAGAATTCTGATTTTAATCCCATAATTCTGACTTTTTTTTCTCAGAATTCTGACTTTAATCTCAGAATTCTGATTTTAATCCCATAATTCTGACTTTTTTTTCTCAGAATTCTGACTTTAATCTCAGAATTCTGACATGTCTTTCTCAGAATTCAGACTTTAATCTAAGAATTCCAACTTTAATCTCAGAATTCTGACATGTCTTTCTCAGAATTCAGACTTTAATCTAAGAATTCCAACTTTAATCTTAGAATTCTGACTTTAATCTCAGAATTTTGTTTTTTTTTCTCAGAATTCTGACTTTAATCTCAGAATTCAGACTTTAATCTCAGAATTCTGATTTTTTTTCTCAGAATTCTGACTTTAATGTCAGAATTTTGGATCTTAATGTAGATGGGCAACATGAAGGAAGAGATGCGGGAGCACTCAGCTTCACTGACTAAGATGTGAGTTTTTTGGGAAGGCTAGTAACTCATTGGTGGAAAATTACAGAATAAGGTGACTTTTTACGTACCCCAGGGGTCCCCGGTGATGCTATTTCATTAATGGAAGAGCAGAAGGTGATTAAAACCAGGCAGCTAGTTTAGTCTCTAAAACAGACATGGCTACAGCTGGATGCTAACATGTTTGTTAGCTGTCAGAATTCAGAGAAAAAAGTCAAAATTCTGAGATTAACGTCAGAATTCTGAGATTAAAGTCAGAATTCTGAGTTTTTCCCATATTAAACAGAAATTTTATTTAAAAATCAGGTAACTTCTAAAGAAGTGTGATAGCAGGCCTATCCCGAAAAATTAGAGGAGTTGAGTACCAGCTAAACTGTGAAATGGGAAATATACCAAAGTTGATGTAAGAAAAATCTTTGATGTATCTTGTGTTCATAAAGTCTGATGTATTTATTGTTTTTTTCCATATCTTAAATAGGGTTGTTTAACTCGGTTAAAATGAAATTATAGGTACACTTTTTGGCCGGACATTGTCTCTACCGACATTATGAATTTATTATTGCCTTTCATTGTGTGTGTAAATTTATTTTGTTAATATTTAAATCGAACCTGAACTAAATTAGACACATAATTTTGTTTCTTAATAGGGGGAAGTTGCTTTCTTAAGGGCCTTGATGAGTGAAAATATTAAATGTTTTATTTTGTTGGACAGGTTGTAAAAATAAGTGCTGAATGAAATAAGATCATACAATAGTTGATTATTTTCTTTATAGACTCTCTGCACCATAACTAAGACAATGTCTCATTTCTATCTAGAAACTCTCATATTTTCCAGAAGTCCTTCAAGTTTATTTATTTATTTTTGTGTGGAAGGTAGCCTATTTAATTTCGTGAAAATAAAGTGAAATACATAACATATTTATAGAACAGGTGAGCAAGTGAGGGATGTATCCCTCTTACTCGTTCAAACTCTGCCCTCTATTGGCCAAATGATGACATAGCAAACTCCTCTACAAGTTAATGAGATGTTCTGTATGTGTAAAGATTCTCGTCGTAACATGTTTGCTAAAAAACATTTAGTACCAAAATCTACTCTGCTTTATAGATTAAATCTCTCCTGAAAAATGAAAGGGGTTTTATTCTATTCATGAAAGGCTGAACTTTGGTATATAAAAACAGAATACCCTCAACCTTTACATATAAATAATAGTTTAATACTGTAAATATGTATGGTAGACCAATACATCATATAAGACATATTTTATTGTCCTTATTGAGGTTTTAAACATCATTTTTACTTTTCAAGATTTTTGTATAATTTCTTAACTATATTCCTGTTACTGTCCTCTTTTTTGTTGATTTTTTTGCAGCAGGGATTTAATGAAAATATTTAGATCTGAGAATTGCATTGTAAAGTTACCTCCTTTTAGGAAATTTATCAAGACTAAGTTAGTTTGGCAGCAAACATGCACTTGTTTAACTTGTCTGTGCTTTTTTTATATGTTATGTCTTTGATTCAGCTGTAATTAATAGTTTCCCATCTTCTATGTGGTTATATAATTGTGAACAGTATGAGCGATATCTTTCTGTTCTTTATTTTAATATACATGTAATATTATTAGCTGCTACAGGTTAATCTGTAAACAACTGGTTGAAGTGGTTCATTTGTGATGCATCGACATGATTCGTAAAAATACCAGAATAAAACTACCAGAGCAGCTAAAACATTCAGTCTCCTTTAGCAGCGAAATTCTAGAATGGTGCTGAGGTTTACTGGCAAAGTTTATAAGTGCTTCTGATTGAGGTTTAATTGAAAAATGTGTATCAAGCAAAGTTAAGATTGCTCAACCTGATGTTTAGAAATGGTTTCTAACATTTTATACAATTCAACCCTTTTTGTATTTACCAGCTGTTATACTGATCAACAGGAAGATGTTTTCAGAAGGCCTCTATAATCTTAATTTCCTCTGAAGCTCATCTTTCTGTTGATTTTCTATAACTGAGTGTTTGATGTTAGATGTAGCCTGTGTAAAGGTATAAAAGTATCTGTCTTTTTTCTTAATTCCCTCCTTTTACAAACTCCTATTCCATTATCCATGACATGCCTTTGTTTTTAGCTTTGATTCTGACAGCATTTTGTTCCATTTTCATATATCTCTGAAGATGGAAGCTTCAGTCTAAGTCATCGAAGGATTGCCGACCAGAAAATAGATGTCAGTACAGATGAAGTGGGTGATTTTGTTATTAGTGCAGAAGTGTCTGTGTGTGTATGTGAAACTGTGGGCTCGATAGCAGAGGAGAGATATGATAGATGAATGGCAGCAGATGCTCAGGAAATTGGAACAAGCTCCGCACATCAGCCATCCATAGATCCATTTTTTCATTTTTACTACAGCCTAACGGTTTATAGTGGTGTTAAATTGGTTTCAAAAGACCAGTCTCTGAAATGACTGAAAAGAGCTTCACCATTTATGTTGTCTAAAAACTTCAAATGAAATTCAGACCCCTCTTTAGACCAGTAGGCCTATCTACTTTGCAACCATCAGTTTTCAGTACAGATCTAGAATAACAATCTACAACAAGATGTGACCGCTAAAAAAGAGCTTCCCTCTTGGAGCGGCTGGGTTCAGATGTGGTCAGCAGCTCCTTCATTAAAAGAGAGATTGAAGAAGAGTTGCTGCTAGAATGCATCGAAAGGAGTCAATTTAAATGGTTTGGTTATTAGATCAGGGCGTCTTTAGTGTCACTGCTTGGAGGTTTTATAAGCATCTGCTTAACTAGGAGAGCCTTAAACAGAACACTACTTTTTCCTTGTGACCCCCAGAATTTGTTGCTGCTGAAAGGAATGAAAGGATTCCTCTCACTGATCTGATCTCAGATAAGAAAAAGACAATCAATGGACAATGGAGAACAGATTCACCCTCTAAAGCTCAGTTTTTGATGAAAACATATTATATCTCCTGTCCTTTATGTGGTTTATGCATGCCCATCACACAAATATGATTAAATATGGTTTAAACACTTAAAGATGGGTTTGATTTTCAGGTCATATTCATTGAAAACACTAGATGGAGACATTAGCCACACCAAACTGGTCTTATATGAATGATGGGTTCAAACTGGAACTGAGACCAATTTTCAGTTACAGAGAAACTGACTTCATTGTTTTGCGAAACTACAATTGAACTATAATATTTTTTATTTTAAAAGAAAAAAAGGACAGGAACAATGATCATTGGTTAAATTAATAATTTCTTATCTGCTGTTTTGGTAGAATCAAATCAAAGGATTGTGGTTTTAATAAATAATCAGAGCTCCTTTGTAATCTGATGTTCTATGTTACCAATTCATGAGTTCTGCTGAGAAAAGATTTATCTCATAATACATTTATAATACAGTTAGGGAATAGCAACTTCCCTCATAAACACTTCTACGTATTTGATTTTGTATTTAATGAACTGGCATAAACTGGCATCAAACAAATACAAAACAGGACAATGTGTCTGAAATATACTTACCACTGAAAAAAAAGTGACATTTATTTCACTTTAGGTCACTTGAATAATTAATTATTGATTTATGTTTGAAGGGCAAAAACTTTAACTTCATTTAAAAGAAACCCAACAACTCATATTCTTGATCATAATTAAATAGTTTAGCTTTAAACTAAACACAGAAGGTGTCTCGTTTGATTAAACAAACTATTTATCTGTTAAATGACTTGCCAAAGCTTTTCTCACGTCCATATTTACATGACTGACTGGAAAACAATGCTGTAGTTTCTACATCAATTCTTTTTCCATTCCTCAAAATAGTTGATAACTAATGCAGTTTGAATCTACACACATCTAACCATATAAAGCAAAAATATAACAATTTTAGCTACCCTTTAAGACTGGTTTCTGGTAAAGTTTTTAAACAAACTTGAGATGTGTAACAATACAACAAGATAAGGAATTCAACACAACAGAAATTTTG